TACCGGCGTTGTCGATAGATTTTAACGCTGTTGCTGTAATGTCTTTCCTCCATGCAACAGCAGTATTATATAGGAGATCTTGAACTTCGTTGTTGAACAAAAATCGATCTCGGTTGCCGCGAAAGTTGAGACTTCTGTATGCCTTCGGCCTGTCGTTCTAACTTTAAGCCTAGTTTCCATTTGGTCGTTAGTTGTCGCTGGCACGACAAGTGGCTGATGTAATAGAGTGTCCACAAAACTTTGCAATCATTAAGACTGATTTGCATATAACACACACAACGATTATTATTATATTAGACTATTTCACATGTACTGCTTGTCTTGCCAGCGACAACTAACGACCAAATGGAAACTAGGCTTAAGAGATTGTGAGTGAGATGCAACACTTAACCCAGAGAACAAATGCTCGACCTTTTGATCTAGGTAAACAGGCGAATCGTTTGGCACAGAGTTCTCTTCGGACATTTTCCAAACGCAGCCAAGGAGAAAACCAACGTGTTTTGCCAGAGTAGTGCTTCACGTGATGTCCTACTGAGCAGACTGCTCATATTTATAGTCTCATGCAAATGCCCTGTTGCGATTTGCATCAATGATTACATGCTACGTTCACATCCGAAGGAAAATTCCAATATATAGTGTAAATATACGAGCACAGTATAGCATGGTGCCCAAGGTTTTATCGTTCTGTTGGATAGCGCGGCAGGGGCTGGGCTGAGCAAAAACGCGAAAAGGACCCAATTTGAGACACTTAAAGATGGTGGCAAGTTTTGAAGATACCGAAGCTATATGCTACAGTGATAGAGAAGCTATATGGGCAGCATTTCAGCGCCAGCTCCACCCCCCCAGATGCTCACGTCCTAATATAATATCAAATTATGCAAACCTAATTATTGATGCAAATAAATTCGTTAGGTTCGTTGTTACTGCAACACAACTCAGGACTTGTATCGGGATTTTCTCGATTCCAAGCATCCATGCATACATTCCCGAGGACCTCATGTTAAGCGTGTCTTAATAGTTTTCTCTCGTTTGAAAATGATTGAAATTAAATCTGATGACTACTAACATGATAAACATCACATAAAAACGAGTACTTACAAATATAAAAGTATTGTGGCATTCGACAATCTGCATTATATGTGGTTTTGCAATTGTTCCAACAAGTTGAAATGTACGTATACATTATCAGTGTTGTTACAAGTCGAGTCGAATCACCATTGTCAGCGGTTCCACACGACTGCTCGAGTCAAATTCGGAAAATGACTCGACTCAACAGTCCGAAATGATTCGACTCGGACTCGAGCTGTTTATTTTTCCGTAAATTTCCCGAGTCAGCTTGGCTATAACTTGTTCATAATATAATAAATTGATCGAAAATATTTTGGTTGTGTTAATTACAGTTGTAAGAACAACGAGTCCTTATTTTAAATTTAAAGAGCTTGAAGAAAAAATTGAATATTTTGACCAGCTGTTTTCATTTTCGGTAATTATGGAATGCCAACATTAAATTTTAGATTCACTTGTTAAAACGTGATAAAGGTCTATTCTGATCAGGGCGCTTACAAGCGCCCTGATTCTGACTCTAGTAGCAAGTTATGCTAGTATTGTCTTCCGGAAAGTACGCTGGAATCGTAAACAGATAACAGATTACGAAATGTTGTGTTTCTATGAGGTACTATTATTGTAGGTAGTTACCGGTACAAAGTCTATATTCCTTGAAACCAATGCCTTTGGCTTTGAGAGCAAAAATAACTGAAATTGTTATATAGCTAGTGTGAACACCAAACGTGATTGGCTGATTTGTAATCACGTGGCTTTAGATAAATGCAATGTATCCCGCCCGGGCAATAAGTGAAAAATTGGGTAATCGTTCCATGTTTCACGCACCAATATAGTAAACGTTATGTGATGGATATTATAGTGTACTGAAAAGTTAACTGGATACCTCCATATACGTATATACATACCGTAAGTCCTACCCTATCGCTGACCTTAAACCTAACCCTAACCTAACTCTAATACCTAACCCCTAACCCTAACTTATATTGGTGCGCGAAACATGGAACGATAACCAAAAATGGTTGCCCGCTCCGACCGGCTACGTACATAAATAAACAAAATGGCGCCACGCTTCCGAATCTCAGCATTCTAACCTATCAGATATGTAAGAGACTCAACATAGAGATGGATGAGACGCTACTTAAGATTCCTAAAAGCAAGATTTCCCATAATCGGTGTAAGAAGGTATTTCAGAAACTAGGCTGGGAGTCTATTGAGTAATTTTAATGTTTTGTTAAGCATTAAAATTGAAATAGCAATTTTAGGGTGATGATGACGAGAAGGACCTCAACCGTTATCGGGATCAATAGGCAGCTGATCAGACACAACGACATCAGTTTCCGTGGTACTTTCATTATTTTGTTTTTCATATTTTTTTACCGTTGCGCTGACGTAACCGATTTGGGTATGTGCGCTCATCGTGATGTCTCCCCGTTCGATACCGATACCCAGGCTGAACATTTTTCTACTTCGGTGGTTTTTCTCATACTTTACTCTGTTTGTGATCTCGGATTTTGTAGACAAGCATCCCATTTTTATTTCTTCTTTTTATCTTCCTTTGGCTTTGGCTTTGGTTTGCGTTTACTTTCCAGCTCAGGTTTTGGTTTGGGTTTTGGACAACACTTACCCTTGTTCATATATTTGTAGTTTTTTACCCTGGAACTGTTGAACTCAACCCTTACATCGGCGCCAAAGGTTAGGTTACCCCTACCTATTTAACACAGATGTAAGTAAACTTCCTTCTATTTTTTTTGGTCTCCGCTAAAGTTTTCCTTTCTGTCTTCGTTGCTCATTGCTATAGTGCTTTTTATTCAACCAGAAAATAAAATGCCATTTAACATGATTATCGTAGGTATGACAGCCTGTGGAAAGATGCACTACCTCGTTTAGGAATTGAAAACCCACATTTTTTATCAATTTGAAAATATATTTTTAATTTGTCCAACCTATCACTGGAATACGACCTACGACCAGGGTTTTATCCACGAGGACGACAATTCTTTGTTATTCCCTGCCGGCAGGACGATGTGGAAAAGTAACTTAAATTTGTTCCTGGACGACTGTGCCAGCACCAAGTCCGTGAAGGACCGTACGGGAGAGCTGGTCGATCTTGGGTTTAGCGCACGTCACACAGTGGAGTATTTCCACCATCGTTATCACTCAGCAACTGACTTCCATTGCCAAACCATACCAACAAAATATTTCGAAATTGGTAACATTCTATAATCCGAACAGACAGGATATGAAGATTATTTTGGACCAATATCTTTTTGTCGATAACGCGGAAATGAGATCTATTAAGGAAAAGCTGAAGGAGAATAAATACGCTCATCTTGAGGTAAACCTGGTTTATCCGTTCAATTATGAGGTAAAAATTCCGATTATAATAAAAGAGATGGAATCGGAATTACCGACCATCGGGCAATCCGCAGAAGAAACAGAGATTGAGGACCACAGGGCGGAGCTTATCCGTCTGTCCAACGCAGGGGAGTTACCCATGCTGAAAAATATCTCAGGAAAGCGTCCGACAAAGTCATTGCAAAAGTCAGGAAGGACTACATCATCGCACAAAGGAAAAAGGCCAATATCCTGCTAACGGAAGCTCTGATTGATAAATTTTCCGGTCTTATGGAAGCCATCAACATGGTGGACAGTGGGGAAGAGCTGAAGACGAAATTAAATCAGGACAAACTGTTCAGGAGTGATGTTAGAAGTGTGGTGGGAAAGCTGTCCCCGTACATACCCTATTTGGGGATCGTTAGCGGTGGAGTGACGACCGTAAATAATGTTTACCGAAGAGCACCCGGACCACCACCTTCCGAAGAAGAACCAAAGACCGACATTGACAACTAAGTATGGAAACTTTCCAGACCCTTTGGGTTTGGAAAAACTGTGATCCCTAAATATTTAAGTGCTGTACTCCGGTGCATGAGTTGTCCGTTTTCAATTCCGATGGCACCGTCAGAAAGAACGAACATATGACGTTCGCAGTTGTAGCTTTTTTCGTCATTTCCACCAGTATTCCGGACTGAGTGTTCTGAATTTTAGCACCGTTTCCAAATGTACTGACATCATTTACGGTTCTGAGATCGATGAACAGCGCGAACTTTTGTCTTTGAAAAAGTTGGTTAGTGTTTGGTGGCTGATTTCACCGGTGCCGAATAATCGTCTTGCCTCTTCGTACAGTCTTGTTTTTGGAATGCTTTGACTGTAGACTGCGTGGGGCACACCTTCCACGGTTACCCTAACCTTTTCGATGATGGGGTAAACATATTCTTCACCTAACAATTCGATGTTTTCCACGGTATACCCCTCCACATTTTCTCCACTCTGTGCGTTCATGATTTCATCTGCCGCAGGTAGGGTTATGACATACTGTAGATCGTTTGCCATATATAGAGTCCATGGTCTTTTAGGATTTTGCCGATTCGGATTCTTTGTTTTGTTCCGAATACTTCGAACAATGCGGTGGCATCCACATCGTCGTTTCCAGCATCGTCTTTGGATATCTTTTTCCTCGTGGCTTCGCTTGCGATGCCATCCTCCATCATGTCGTCACGCTGTTTCTTGTGTAACCATAGGTCCTTGTAGACCTCCAACAAGCTTTCTCCACTGTTATCATAGACTTTTTTGCCTGCGAGGCAAATTTCCAATCTCCTTTGGAGTAGTTTACCTAAGTTGTTTCTGAACCAGGATTTTGTGTTACTGTTCTTAAAGTCGAAGACCAAAGCCATACTGTCCGGTACGAGAACGGAGCCGGCTTTTAGCTCTGGAATATTAACGTAGATTTCTTCTCCATGTTTAGCAGAGTTGGGGTTGAAGGTTAGGACGTGTCTGGTCCTATCTCCGGTGATTTCTGCCTTGTTCATACGTCGGCAATCAGGCATAAGTTCAGCTTTTCGGTTCATTATGTTTTATTATAGTACCTTTTATATTAGGGCTTACTTTTTTTTACGTCTGTTTTGGAGGTACCTAAATATAGCTCCGGCAATCACAATCGCTACGATCCACAAATTCCGGGCAAGAAAGGCAAGACCCTTGGCTCCCCAACTTAGGATCGTACTTAACATATTTAGAATAGGTACCAGAATTGGCAGTGCAGCTTTTGCGAACTTTGCCAACGCTTTTCCGGCAGCTCCAAGTCCATTAGCTGCTCCCGTAATGGCTTTCTTTCCAGCCACCACCACAGTCGTAATAATTCCGGCAATGGAGATGGTAATGGCGGCTACCGTTCCCATGTTTCCTTTTGCCCACGCGCGGAATCTTTCGAATTCTGTTCGGTTGTTTTCCCTTACTATTTCCTTGTACGTGTGTTTTCCCTCTTCCGACCTAGGTACTTGTCCCATTTCCAGCCTTGCATCGTCGATGCCTTGTTCGGCAACGTCTACCGCCCTCTGCGTGATCTGTCGTCTATCGTCGTCGGTTTCTTTTTTTATGCACCCTGTATATAACATGTCATGACGTTATAGTTTGTCTTGAGACAACAAATATATTTTCATTTCGGTTTTGAATTTCTTTTTTGTACATAAATCTTTTATTTTTGGTATTCCATTCCATATTTCTGTTCCCGTATATTTTATTGAACATTTTCCATAATTTGTTCTATTACCAATAGTAATACTGTAACAGTACCCGAAACTCGATCGTCAAAACTTCATATGCATTACCATCGAACTAATTATACTAAGCACTCACTCTCAGTGAAAGGAGTGGATGTTCGGAATAATCTTGATGTTAGCTTGACAAAAATAATATCACTACCAATCTTAAAAAAACCCCCGAAAATACATTTTATGAACAATAGTCAATACAATCTAGTGAACTTATATTTTACAGATTAGGTCTTTATAGCTCTCCAACTTTTCTCCTTATTATGTACTTTGTTCTTACTAGTGAAAGCAATATTAATGTATTAATCTTCATATTCTTGTAAATACTTTTAGCACTGATTGACACAATATAAAACTTTGCACTGGACATTAAATAGGGCCTTACCTTAGGCTATGAAGGTTTCTTTAGATTCCTAACCCTATTTATAATTGTAGCTTTAATACTTTTATGTAAATAATTACCATAATGATTGGGCGAAATTAAATAAATAAATAATACACCCTCTTCTAGGATAAAACAATCGTCACTCTGTAGAAAGCCGCCATCTTTGTTTTACTGCCTGTTCGCAGGCATACAGCCCTAATTAGTCGACCTGAGTGTTTAACGCACGCACCCACCTGGCACCCACACACAAACTCGATAGCATAGTATCCAGCGCTCCGCGCAGATACGAAAACGTGAACACATTATGACATTTAAGCATTACGGGGTGAGACGCCTAATTACTTGTCAGACCTGTTTGTCGCCAGTCATAATGACACGTATCAATTAAGAAGTAATGATCGAAAACTTTATTTAAACAAACCAAACACAAACTTTATGAAAATTCTCTTTTGTTAAAATTGTTGTAAATAGATAGTAAGTGTTTGTATTTCTAAACAATTATGTATATATGTATTCATAAACGGCCCATTGAAAATCAGTTTTTCTTTACCGCTGAAGGACTACCGTTTTCAAATAATTTTAAATAAAAAAGACACAGACGCGGACACGGACAGACGAACAGGCATAACCAAATACAAACGTAGATGAAAATTAATTCCATGTGGACGTAAAAATCATTGGCGCACGCTATTACCACTACGTCACTGGTAAACTCCCGCAATATATGTTTTTCTATTTAGGGGATAACCTTTTGCATGTGGCGCGGAGATTTGGCCAATAATTACGGGAACCACTCAGTATTTTTATAAAATACAAAAGAACAGTAACTCCGAATAACATTTTGTTTTGATTTATTGAATCTACGTTTCGACTAGATTGTAGTCATCTTCAGGATTAGTGTAAGATTACAAATACAGCTATATATAAAGAGAAGAAAGGCGGAGCTTAATGTCAGTGAAATATGATCAATTCTTTAGATGCTTTAGCGCCATGGTTTAGTTCCGGTGTCCCAGGATTTTCGCCCCCCGGGGGGCGAAATTTCTAGGAATATCGCCCCAGGGGGGCGAAAATCCTAGGAATTTCGCCCCCCTTTAGGAAATTCGCCCCCCTTTAGATACTTCACCTTTTCTTTAGGATTTTCGTCCTCCGTTGAAAATTTCTCCCTTCCTAACAGTTGCATGGGATAATTATTACATAGCTTTAATCATTTGAAATCAGTATCAATTCAAAATTGTTAAGACAGAGCTTGAAATAACAACCGATCACCGATCAATGATCGGCAAGGAATTGCTTATGATCGGCGGAAAAGCAGGGTTTCGGTTTCCAAAAAAGCAGGGAAAGTCACGACTGCCGATCACCATGATCGGGAACTTTGGCGGGGACGTTATTTCAAGCCCTGCATGTAAGAATACAAATTTACAATTACATGTATCGAAAGGGCTTTACACAGTTACAGTAGATCAATACTCAATAGGACTTATGACGCTTCACAGCACACCATGCATATTTTGCATTTTCAGTGTTAATCCTTAAACTCATTGTTAAAAAGTAATCACTGTGGTGGTTATTGTAATTATTGGTATTGTTTTGCATCCACGTTTTGTCGTTATCGGAAAATGTATGGTTTGTCACTATTTTTTACTTGCATTATTTCAATATAGTTTATAAATCTCAGAAGCGAAGGGTAGAACTTGCCAATAGGCAATAATCCAATAATATACGTTTCAAAAAAGACAAGAAAGCTTTTAGTTTTGCAGAGTTACATTCTCAAATGTTTAAGGCATGCACTAATAAAATCAAAGTATCATGAAATTATTTGAATAAACCACACCACATATATAATGCAATTTTCTTTGCGGAAGCTTTAAGTGAAGAATCAAGATTACATCACTGACACGGAAAGTTGACGATTCAACGGACAATAGTCAATACGCTTCCCAACACATTCCATAGATTTTTTACTAATCCTATAGTTTATTGTTAGCAAGTGATTACTGTGGCGGCTATTGTTAACACTCGTATTGATAAAATTTGCAAGCGATTGCTTTTATAAGGCCATATAAAATAAATTCCTTGATTCTCATCGCTAAATTTTAAAAACTCCCAGGAGGCGGGAGGTTTATATTTTATATTTTATGTCAAAATATAAAAAAAAAGTTTAAAATTTAAAAAATTGGAGAGGGAGGTCTTTTATATTTGCCTTAAATATATTATAGAAGAACGCTATATAAGTGGATAATTGCACATGCGCTAATGAACATGCATAAGGGTCCACACAAATCGTTGTAATAAGGCTATAAGCCCATTTTTTCCTTCAGTATTCCAAGCATCCCTTAACATGTTGCAATATTAACGATAAAACAATTTTATATCGCAAAAATTCCAATATAAAATATAAAAGTAACTAAATCTCTGAAGATGCTCGGTCGGGCGGTAAATTTATATTTTATAACAAAATACAAAAATATATCAACGCGGAAACCAAAATATCGTCGGGCGGTGATGAGAATCAAGGAATTTATTTTATATGGCCTAATATGTTATGTGAATGTAAACTGCCAGAAGAATACGACAACATGATTTTATGCGATCTCTGTGATGGTTCCACTTTAGATGTGTAGCCATGACACTAGTCTAAGTACCTCAAATGAGTGGTTATGCAGACTGTGCACACCACCAGCTGCTAAGAAGCCTAAAATGTGTATGTCATTTTGTCTCCTTGTAATAAATAAATAAATCACACAATAAATCTTTTCAACTTGCAATCGTTTTGTTAGATCAAAAATTCAAAATTTATATGGGGGGGGGGGCGAAATTCCTAAAGGGGGGATATTCCTAGGAGATTCGCCCCGGGGGGGGCGAATATCCTAGGAATATCGCCGAAAACTCAGAGATCAACGACCACATCAACTCCTGTGAATATTTTCAATACATTAAAACTCTTATGGAACTCTCATCTGACGCATCTAACCCTATAAACACTAATATTACTCAATTAATTTTCTACAACTGTAAAATAATTGACAAGTCTGATCACTGGTCTCTGTTATTGTATAAAGAGTCTCTTGCTATACGGAGGCGAAACCCGGAACTAAACCATGGCGCTAAAGCATCTGAAGAATTGATCATATTTCACTGACATTAAGCTCCGCCTTTCTTCTCTTTATATATAGCTGTATTTGTAATCTTACACTAATCCTGAAGATGACTACAATCTAGTCGAAACGTAGATTCAATAAATCAAAACAAAATGTTATTTGGAGTTACTGTTCTTTTGTACCGTTTTTCATGTGTGTTACGTAACACGTGCTCAAATATAATGAAAATACTTTTCCACTTGGTTATGAGTATATTCAGATTTTAAAATTTTTTATGCGTTTTTCAAGCGGCAAACAAACTTAAATGTACTGTTTAATAAACGAGCAGAAGTGTTCTATTAGGTTTAAAGCCACGAACGCGCAGCGCGAGTGGCTTTAGACCTAATAAAACACGACCTGCGAGTTCAAACAGGACTACAAATTCAATAGATATACTGCTTAGTATTCTTTATATAAAGAATACTAATGAGGACACGGCTACAATAGATACTGCCTTATTAGTATTCTTTATACAGGGTTTATCTGCCTCGTACCCAGGCGCTTTAAATAATTATAATACATGAAGTATTCAGGAAGGCAGGCGACACGCAAAGGGGCTGTTGGGAAGGGTGCGAGCTGGGGAGCGCCTGGCAGTTCTTGTATACTGTTATGGTGGACAAACATGGAATTTAATACAAAACGTTACCATATCGTCATATACTCTGTGCGTAAAACCTTATTTTCTGACGAAGAGTCAAATTGAACGCCCTTGGCAAATAATAATAAATTTGTAGATGTTTGATGACATGCAAAATGCGCGAAAAATTATGAGTAAATTACATGGTAAGTTAACCGTGCGAATATTTCAAATATGTTATTCGGTATTACATGGAGAATAATAGAATGCTATCAGTTGCTTAGTATAAAACAGTAACAGAGAAATGATTAGAAAGTCATTTGCTTTTGTATTAATAACTTCTTTAGGGACCGGTCATAAAATAACTGCTAGGGTGGGCCGGAGTGATTTGGGATGGGCCATGGAAAATCTTTGGGCAGTTTGGATGGGCCGTCAATTATTTTGTATGTTTACGGTTGGACTACCAAACAAAAACCCATATCTACTTTCATCCAAGGGCATAGGAAGCCAGGGGGGGGCCTCGGCGCCAACAATGGTGGAGCCTAGTGGGAGTCGTCGACCCTAACTTTTACAAGTTTCCCTGCTTTCATCACTTATTATGATAATATAATAGCAAATAAGATTTTAAAATCAAACATAATACAAATCTAACATGGCTGTACACTGCACAGAGGGCAGCAGGGGCAACTGCCCCCCCCTAAAATTTAACTAATTTTATAATGTGATTATGCT